TACCTGTTGACTCTAGTTTTGAAGAGTCAATCTTTATCTCTAAACAGCAGATAAACCTGATTCCTTTGACAAACTTGCATTCTTCATTAACTAAGTTCCAAAGTGCACGTGCTCTCTCTCAGCAGTGACCTTGAAATACTGTACTTTCCACTAATTACTGTGTTTTATATTTCTTTTCAGCAGCAACTGACATAATTTCCTGTAACAAAATTAATTTCTAAAGTGAGCAAAATAATGATTAATCTTTAAATTCATAAAACATGTTCCCTTTGTGACTATAATCAATTCTCTACTCTGTTGGAATGGAATATGGAGTCCAAAACAGTGACTCATAAAATAATTATTTATATTCCCTGTTGAAACACAGTCTGTAGATACATTTCAGGTGAATTTACCTTTTTAACCATGTTTTACTTAATCTGATGCTAATATTAGTGAGCATATTATATATGTAGCAAATAATGTTTGTAATTCAGGAAGTTTGGGAGTTGTAGAGGAGAATGACAGGGGAGAGCTAAAACATACCAAAACCAATCTCTTTTGTGGTCAATGAACAATTGTGTTTATGGTAAGCTAGCAGAAAATGATTATTTTCTTTTGCTACAAGTATTTTTAAATAAATCAAAGAGCATCAGCAGCACTAAATGTTAGAGCACTGTGAGCATTAAGAACAGCAGTTTCTTTTTGTAAGTCTTAGTTGACTTTATATTGATGTGCGCAAGAATTGTGTAGAATTACTCATCAGGTATAATTATGAGCCATTTTTGTTGTAGATTTTTATTAGGTTCCAACACGGAAGTTCTCATTCAGACATGGGAATTAGATACAATTTATGCCTTGGAGACTTAGAATGGCATAGTTGAGTAATTCCACACTGGTATAATTATGATCAGCCTAACACCTGGAATAATCAGTTTTAAATGCTTAACTACTCTGAACTCTGACCCAAATCCAGATATGCAGTTATAAATAGATTTTCCTCTTAATAGTCAAGAGAATTGGCAATTAAGACAATACTCTAAATATTTTTTTAGGATGTTTATGTATTTGCCAGAATCTGACAGACAATTAATTAACCTCTTAGAGTAAATCTCAGCTGATAAAGAGCCTTTTACAAAGATTGCAACTTGGAAAATAACATTTAAACAATTTATTTAATTGTATGGACTTAGATATTTACCCTGGAAAATGGATAGAACGTTCTCCATAGGATTCTTGAGATAGGTGTTTTATGATACTGTATTTTTATCCCCAGAAAATAATTCCATTTAGTGCAAACTAAACATTGTTTGTTGCTACTAGCATTCCTTATGGTCAGTAGAGGGAGCACAAGTTTTCTAACAAACCATCACAAGACTGAAGTGACATCATCAGTGATGGTAAAAGGGGAAAAAAATCTAGGCTAGTTTATATTGCTTCATATTCCAGGAGCCCTGAGAAAAATTAAAATTTGCTAAGTAGAAAGCCAAGAACTGTAAAGATAAACTGCCATATCAGATTTGGAGACCATATTTTAAGATGTGTATTAACAAGAAAAAATTGACATAATTCCTTTAAAATTGGAAAATCTGGGTTTTGATGCACAGATTGATTAATGATTAATTTTACTGGAGGTTTTGTTTGTTTATCTTTTGTTTGCTTTATTTCCTTATCATAAATTCTAGAGGTCATTGTAGGGCTGTCTGAAATGGTTATTTGTATGATGGACTAAAATTTGGTATAACAAAAGAAATGTAGTGATTTATGTATGGGCCAGTTATGTTTTTGATTCTTTAAGAAGGGCTAGAATTTTTTTCTCAGAACGATGTTCTGAGGGCTGATTGCAGTGTGATTAAGGACTCAGTCATTAGTTAAGAACCTATGTTTCAACGTAAAAAAACTTAGATTAAAAAAATCTCTTATAAATATGACTGATAATTCCAGTAGAATGTTTATGTATTTTCTGAGCATTTGGTGGGACATGGAAGTTGATTGTTGTCCCTATCAAAAAGTTATTATGATGTTTGAGTGGTGCTATTTAGATTATAAAGAAGCTCAGATGGCATGGATGCTCATTTGTGATACTACGTTAGGGTTAAGTACAGAGAAAACCAAGTCACTTTAATCCCTCTCTCTAGGATCTTACAGCCATCAAAATAGTGTCACTGAGCATTTTTATAGCAGTTTTACATTCTTTTGTTTTTTAGTGGGAGAGCTCTTTAAGTTAAATAGGACCAATGAAAATAAGTTCATTTTACAGAGGAGTTGAGATGTATTGAGACTTAGGGAGCTAGTCAAGGTTATATGGTACATTAGCAAGCCTATGAAACCACAGTCTGGAGCTCTTCACTCCTAGTTCAAGAAGTTATGAACTAAGAGTTTATACAGCAGAAGTCTAGGATAGATGATCTGAAAATACAGGAAAATTATTTAAATCACCAGTCTTTTGTTAAGTGCCTTTTTTGTGCATGGCATTATGTTATTAGTCTTGTTTGATTTAAAAAATGAGAAAAATCATAACAGTCCATGAAACTGTTGTGTATTGGTATTACAAATAGTAGAAAAAGGGTATTTAAAACAATAAATGCTTATATCATATGAAAGCTAAAGGTACTTTTTAGGGTTAATGCAGTAGAAACCCCTTATATATTAGTATACAGTTAAGGAGAGAAATATGAGGAAATAGCCAAGGAGGTTTTGTTTACATGGGAAGAGAATGGCTCTGAGACTAGAGGGCCTAACTTAATTCTTGGAGGAGGTAGCATTTCATAGTCCCTTAGATAGGTTTACTGAAGCAGTCAGGTGGTTGTGGAAACTATAGTTAAGAGAGAGTGCTAAATCGTACAGAGAGCACTCTGAGACCTTGGAGACTGTCCTTGCATTAATTTTACAGCTAAGGAAACTGAGACCTGGAGTGATTCTGAGTTATTCTGCTCACACAGCTAGATGGGGGCAGAACTGGAATTAGGTCCCTTCCAAATGCCTAGGTATGGTAACAGAATCTAGAAGGTGGCAAATTGTAGGAATATATTGAATGTGTAGATTGATAGCAGAATCTAGAAGGCGACAAAAACGTGGAAATATATTGGATGTTTGGTGTAGAGTTGAGTATATTTTTGCTGTGATTTTATTTCCATCAATTTTTAAAAGAGGTAAAAGAGAACTGTTGACTAGTTTTTGTTTTCGTGGGCAGAGTGAACTGAAATACAAGGATGTAGTGATCCATGAAACAGTTTGAAAAGTAGGAAGAGCTGCCTGATGGCAAATGTGAAAATGGCTTTACCAGCAACTTCTAAGACATTTTTATTAATGACAGTAGTAAAGATGAAAATGGTATTACTAAAAACAGCTACCATTTATTGAATGTGTATCGTGTCATCATGTCAAGCATCTACTGTACATTAGTTTATTAAATTATCTCACCCTGTGACCTAAGTATTACTTTGCCATTTTGTAGATAAAGAAACTGAATCTCAAAGAGGTTATTACTCCAGTCATACCAATAGTCAGCTGTGGAATAAAAATTTGAATTTTGATTCTGTTTGAATTCCAAGGCTGGTGTTTCTCAAACTTTATTAAAGAATAGACCCTCCTTCTAATGGAAAAATAATCTGCCCCATACCCTCTAGACTTATTTTTACGATTAGACTACTTAACTAGGTGTAAACACAAATTCCTCAAGCTTATAGCTCTTATATAATTTTAGAAAATGAAAAAAAATTACAAATTAAATTCAGGCAAACCTTACAGGATCAATAACATTCAAAAATGACATTAATTTGATGTGAATGATGGAAGTTTTTGCTGACATGAAAATACCAATTGCAAGATGAATTTGTTGCTAACGACTGTTGCACAGTTCTTTTGAGTTTGGCATGCCTGTAATGCCACATGCTTTGTGAGAACTTGGTTCGGCTGCCACTTTTCTCTATTCTGATTTCTTTAAATTAACCCTTCAGACAGCATTCTGTAGTAGTATCATTTGTCCTTCACTTGGTGCAATCAGTTATTTATTGTTAATCCTACCTCTGTTCTTATTAACTGTGACAAAGTACTGTCACTTGGTGCCAATTTGATGGTTTGGGGCTCTGAAATGTCATGGCAGTGTGTATTTAGTTATAAGATGAGGGTTATCCAGGTGATCTAGAATATATGCATTTTTTTCAGGTTATCATGTAGAAGAAGACAAAATTTAAGAAATTCATAGACTCTTCACATTATAATGAGGCCTGCAGTATTTCCACTTAAGGAAAAAATTGCCCTGCACTTTCTCTCTAAACTCTCAAAATGATCTGGTTTCTGCGGGGTAATAGTGGAGACTCAGGAAAGCCTCTCCATCTACGTTCGGTGCTGCCTTAGTGCAGCCCACCACTATTTTCTGAATTTCTTCCACAGCCCCTGGTTTTACTCCACCAAACTATTCTCCACAGTGTGTTCCTCACTAGTGAACTTTCTATAATACAGGCTTTTGAAACTCAACGTGAGTATTACTTCTTTCTGGAAACGTTCTCCTATTGCTTCTTATTTCCTGCTTCCTCACCTCATCCATTATCACCTTTGGCATCCTCTCCCCTAGACTGAATTATTTACCTTTCCTTTATTCCTCCTTTATAACTCCATAACACCCTAGGCATACTGTTACAATCATGCTTAGCACATTGCATTGAATCATTAATTTCTGTGTCTCCCCAGTAGGCTGTTAGCTTCTTGAAAATAAAGCCTACCTTGTGTATCTCCTAGCCAGCATGTTGTCTGAAAAGGAAGAAGATGCTGTTCTATAGCTGTGATCTTGAATCACAAGTCAGTTGTAATTTTAGCAGTGAGGAGTCAGAAATAGGCAAGAGCAAAGTAGACGTTTGCTTATCTTTTCCATTCATGTGTGTAAAATTTATACAAATTACCTAAACAGTTAATGTGGTAAAATCTTTTAGTGTATAAGCAACATAATTTTGGAAGTAATCTTTCCATAAGGAATGAAATGGTAGCATCATTTTGCTGTCCTTTTGTTTTCTTTTGGTTAGGCGCTGTGATTGTCTCCACGCCCCAGGATATTGCATTGATGGATGCACGTAAGGGAGCTGAGATGTTTCGAAAAGTCCACGTGCCTGTAAGCATTTCCAGCTTCACTGTTACAGAAATACAAAACACTTCTAACTGGAAAAGCCAGTCATTGAGAAATACAATCCAAATTTTAATTTAGTTCTGTGCAAAAATCTATTATGAACACACTACTTCATTTTAATGATTACTTTAAAAACATATATAGGTGCAAACATGTATACACATTATATTAGTGAAGGGGAATTCTAAAACATCCTTCAGGTGTGAATTTTCTGAACAAGTACTACTTGTCTCAGCTATATGCAGCTATCACTGACAAACAAAATAAGAGAGTTTTAGGAAATTATTTAGGTAGATACACTTGAATAGATCACTGGTGCTAAAACACCGGAGAAAAAGATGAGTTTTTTCCTTCTGTCTCCTACAGTTTAACTCATTTATAGCTCACCATCTTCTAAAAAATACCTAAGAATTTTCTGTACAGTGTGGCAAAAAAAAGAAAATATTATAAAAATAAAAGAAAGGACAATTAAAATCAGATGGAGTCAGAAGTAAAGTCTATAAATAACTTGCATGTCATAAGGGACTTAAATACATGCTAGAAGTATGCCATGAATTTTCCATAGAAACAGGACCATTAAAGAAATAGGACCATTATAAAACTGTGCATTTCCATAAGGTTAAAAAAAAGCTTGATGCTCAAGAGAAGCAGACCTGAGACCAGGGAGGCGTTAAGTCTCTCTTAGGTCCTCAGAAATAAAAGAAACCCTGTATATAATGAACACATTTTTACCACCTTTGTAACCATAAATAGACGGTTCTTCCTCCTGGCCTGGTGTGCCTCAGCAAAAGCAAGTGAACTTATGCCAGAGTGTGGTTTAGAACAAGCATTTCAGTACAAAGCTAACGTGTTGCTTCCATCTTTACGGCTCCCAGTGGCCTTGCTTAATTCAGGGTTAGATTTTAGTGCTTATAGGACAGAGCTCTTTAGACCTCAGCCCAGGGGTCTCGTGATTCTCTCTCCCTTCCCCTCCTCACCATATTGTACACTTTGTTTGTTTTGGTATGGAGAGAATTCCTAACTTTTATTAAATTCTTCAGTGAGACTATGACATAGTATAAGAGCCCATGATGTATTAGAATGAATAGACTGTCAGGGAAGCTTTCATAAATTTTTTTTTTTTTTATCTCAGAGGAGCTTCTGAAAAGTATAAAATAGTAGAGTAGTGGTGTTGAGATGATCCGCTTCGACAAGTACCTTTTCTCCCTTGCCAGTTAGTGCAGAACTGTGTGCGTTAACAAGCCATGGAGCTCTGGATTGGATCAGTCTGCTCTTACAAAAATTGAAGAGCCTGGGAAGGATGATGCCAGTGTGCTTACCTTCTAGGTGATCTGAAGGCATTCTCTCTCACTAGCAGGGATAAAATTGTGATCAGAAAGTGTTTTAGGGCCTGCTCTTAGATGAGGACAAATAAGTGATAAAACCTTTGAGGTGTTCTGTGTTGTGAATTTTAGCTTGGAAAAATTTTAAAGCAATGGTAACCAAATGTCTGCTTCAGACAGAAAACTGTCTCAATAAAGCACTTATTTTGACCAATGTTATTTCCTCTTTGTCCTCCAAGATAAACTAGATATGAGTAATGCCTACTCAGATAACTAAATAAGGTTATTTTTATGGGATTTTTAAAACATAAATCAGCAAAAAGAGAGAGAGAGCGCGCTATCCACCAAAAATTACAAGAAAAGTAATCCATAATCTTTCTTTGTGGCAGAAATTAGATAACAGGGCCAATGGTCTGTTATTGCCACTTCAAAATCATGATAATAGTCATTCTACCAGCATATGAGTAAATGCTTAACTTCTCATTCTGTAAGATGAAGGTGGAGGTATATGTCCAGCTCACTCAAAAGCATCATGGAATCCTTGAGAGAGAAGTTTGGCAAAGAGAGGATGGCAGACTTTCACTAGGTGGGTGCCACTGAAGGATTAAAGTTGAGGATATCAGCAAGGAAATGCTGTGAGGAAGTATTCCAAGTGAAGGATTTGGACCTGCATAAAGCTCATAAGACCAATGCTGAATTAGTTACGGAGTAAAAGAGCTGTTTTTGATCAGAAAGTGAATGACCAAGTTTAAGTTTGCAGAGCTGGAACAGTTCTGGGTCATGACAGGGTACAGGATGTGGTTGGTCATGGGTGTGTGGGGCTGAAGAGGAGTGGGAATGAAAGTCATTAGAAATGCATAATCCATCCATTGTTTTTTTGACATCATCCTGTATCTTTATTAGATCCCTTATTTTTCACTCCTATGCTTTAATTATTTGCCTTCTAAACAGCAAAAATTTGAAGGAGAGGTAGAATGTCTTAATCATCTCTTAACCTGCAGAATAAGAAACGTGCTTAATAATCTTCACAAGGGAATGAGTGAGAACTTCCCAGCAGAGAGAACTCTGTAAGCAGTTGTGGGACAGTCATGTTGTGGCTCCATTGTAGAGGGAATCCCGGCTATGAGTGGGATGTGGATTTGATGACTTCCGAGATTCTTCTGGCACTTAAGAGCCTTGGAGTCTGAATAATGTTAAAGCATTTGAAATTAGAAAGTGTTCCATAAATGCAGAAGAGAAATGTTATGCTTTGTTTATACCATGTTATCCGTTTTCCCCGGTTTTTAGTCTTACTCTCTGTTTTTTCCCCCTTTGAAGTGCATTAGTTGTCATGGAAACAGTGATGTCATTGGTCAGGGTTTATTAATGTCTGCAAGAACATTTTGAAGTTAATTTAAATAATTTCTTAAAACTCTAGGCTCAGATAGAGGAAGGAGAAGAAGAGATAGATGACTATTAAATTCTCTGTTCTCTGCCTGAAGTGATACCAACTCTACCAAATCCTTGATTATCTCAGTATTTATAGGTAGACTATTTTTTAATGATAAAAAATTTTCAATCTTACACATTTTTAATGGTAAATACTTTATGTGCTGTGTCAGTCTCATCCATTTTTGTTGCCTTCTTTTATGAGAGAAGCCCAGGCACCTCAATTTGGAGCCCTTCCCCTACCCTTTGAACTTTTGGAGTCACAAGGATTTCACTTCCCAGCCCTTCTTTTCTTAGGTAATCTCCTTCCCAGCTCCTCAAATTACATTAAAGTCTATTTCCTCTTTTATTCTTTCTGTACATAAAAGATCACTTGGTTAATTTAAATTCAATAAATAGCTATTTATTTATTCTGCAAATATATATTTACTGATATTGGGTGTCTTCTTTTTTAAAAAACACTGTACTTTTTTTTTTGTTTGAGAGGGAGGTAATTAGGTTTAGTTATTTACTTATTTATTTTAATGGAAGTAGTGGGGATTGAACCCAGGACCTTGTGCATGCTAAATAAGCATGTACTCTACCACTGAGTTACACCCTCCTCCCCTTGAGTGTCTTCTGTAAGCAAAGTACTGTGATAAAGTCCATTAGTGATTAAAAAAAAATGGAAGCTTTTTCTTCAAGTAGCTTGTCACCTTGTAGACTAGCTCCATTAGGGTGCAGGGGCCCTAAATTCTGAGGGACATGAGAATTTTCTTCTCTGGGCTCCAAGGAGGGTGTTCATGGAAAAGCCATTTTTCCCCCATGTCCCTGTAATTTTGCACATGCTAGTCCCTTGCCTGATAGGCCATTGTCAGTTCATATTCATTTCTCAAATCTCTGCTCAGTCATTACTTCCTCTCAGAAGCTTTTCCGAAACTACCAGAAAAGGTTAATAATTCTTTCTCTGAACTACCTGAATATATATTTCATTTGGCTCTTATCCCACTGCAACTTTACCTGTCAGTCTGCACAGGAGAATTTGAGTTCTTGGCTGGTAAGAAAACATACCTTAAATATCCTTAAATGTTCACTGCCTGGCACATAGCAGGTGTATGATAAATACTTGTTACACTGACATTTGACCTGGGATATAATGCCACCCACGATCTGCTGTTCCCAGCTCAAGGCTGCTCTGACTTGCATTCTGTCTGTCACAGGTAAACTGTCCATCTTTCACGTCTTTGAGATTTCCATACAGTTTCTCTTCTTATGGTCCTCAGCATGCTGTTTCCCCATCTGAGAACCTTTTACTCTCACTTTTCACCCAGCAGCTCCTTTTTATCCTTTGGTATTTGGATTAAGGGCTCTTTCTCTGGGAGACTTGCCCTGACCCTGTTACCTAGATAGGCTCTTGCTAGTGTATGATCCAGTAACAACTGTTTCCCCTTTTGTAACCGTTTTCACATTTGTCAGTACTTTCCCACTTACAGTGCCGTACTGTCAGTTCTGTGAGCGCAGGGACCACTTACCTCCCTCTCTGTCTAGAACATGTAACTGCTCACTAAATATATACTGAATGAGTGATTGCAGTAGGATTTTCACAGGCATATCATGGGGCTGGGGGAGGGAAGGACTTCACTCTGAAAAGAATGAGGAAATCACAAGTGTTCAGGTTTGTTGGTTAGTCTGTAGTTGAAGTCATATGTTTGGATGTGTCTATGCCAGAGCTAGGTTTGGTCAAGCCTTAAACACTCAGGAAAGGAATTTGGACATTCTTCGTAAGATTTTTAGAGACATCCATAAAGAATGCTGGATAAGAAGTAGACAGAGTTAGAACAGAGCTTTAGAAGGATTTAATCTGATGGAGATGAATGGAAAGGATAGGGGTGAGGAGAGTGTGGAGGCAGTGAGGAAGCATTTGCAATGGTCAGTTATTCACGCTGCAGGCTGTGACCCACCATTGAGTCAGGAAATCAATACAGTGAAGGATATAACCAGTTTTTAAACAATATTAAGGTAAATTGCTCTTAGGGAGAGAAAATGTTATTTCATAGGGATTTGGTTTCAGTCATAAACACACACGGTGTTTTGTATCAGATCAAGATGTCACATATTTCTCTTAATAAGATAGTTTAATAAGTTAGAAAAACACTGGTGTACATGATAGGCAGTAAGGATCTGGTTTAGAAAAATGGTAATGAAAATGGAAAGGGGAATAAGTATAATCGATATTTTGAAAGAAGAATTGACAGG